GCTCTCAGAGCGGCGGTGAAGAACACGGTTCAGAAGGTCAAAAAGGAGCCGCCGGTTGTGCAGCCTACCCCTCCGCAGAAATGTGAAGCAGAGGTTAGTGTGGCTTTGTCGCTTTTATATTGTTTGTGCAAACAAGGAGGTACTTTTAGTTACAAGCGCATATTGTTAATGCCTTAGAAAGTGATTTTTAATTTGAGATTAAGTGTACGGTTGTTTATTCAGAATGCAGTAAAGAATAAGAAACTGTAAAAGTCCAATTTTATACCGTAAGTCACTTGTTGAAATGACTGAATTTCATCTAATATTGTATATCTTTTACGATATGATTTATGTACGTCTATGCGTTTGTATTACAGTTCAGTCCGTGCAGCAACTTAAAAATTCCTGTAGCCTTTAAATCTTTATAATGACAAATGTCAGTTGCCCATTTTTCCCTTTTTGTTGAATGCAGCTTTGTGAGACGTTCCATCCCTTGGGAAATGGGCGTGTTTTATAGGGGATATATAGAGGTGACTTAAAGATAAAAGAACGATATTTACCAGTGTAGTCTTTCTAGAATTTTAATACCCTCTTTAACTGTCAGTAATGGAGACTCCTACACTCAACAAATAAAGTTCAAGGTCAGGTAGATTGAGTGAGAGCTGTTCATTAGACCCAATTATTAGGTCACAAATGAGATGGATCTCTGAAAATGCAGTTAGAAAAATCAATACCTCTGGTCAGAGTTCTTTTAGAGGTTTCTCTCTTCTCTGCTGTTGTGGACCATTGATGTTCATGGGATTTGCATTTAAGCATCTCTTCTTTTTCATTTTAAAGCAGGTGGTCCTACTTTTGTGTAGATAACTGAAATATTGATTTATGAAAATTTACGTAATGTTTTAATTTTACATGTTTTGTTCAACGTAAAATCATTTTGCAATGAATGTTTACCACTGTACCTTTCAATAATATGAAAACCTTTAATTTAGTGGACACTGTATGCATGAAAATAGGTATTTTTTTTCTCATGTTCATTATACTTTGTAATTTTAACCCTTGGTAAACTGCTGCAACTGAAGAGTTTATATTTAATGATATAATTGAACATGTACTTTCAGTAATCTAATAATATGTGAAAATGGGAATCTAAAGATATTACAATGCAATACAGGAAGTGGTTAAAATACATCTTTCCCCCAGAGCCTTAAGAGAGTAAGTAACGTACAGTGTCTGTAGGTTTTCTAATCAAAAAGTGAAACGAGGAAGACAAAGACGCCGAACTATGATGTCAAAACATCATCATAATACTTACAGCGAATGTTTTAAATTTGAAATTGCATAAGCTGTCCAAACTGTAATTCAGGTGTAGTCAAATACCGAAGTTGTTCATTTTTTTTTTCCTTTGCAGGAGTTTGGAAGACCTTATACTTTTTTCCAACAAAATTCAGTTCTGTTATTAAAGATTTCATTTTACATAGAACTGTGAATTGGAACAGATATGAAGGTCTGAGCTTTGACCGTCCGGTAGTGGGGAACTGAATTCGCCTCATTGTCAGGCCTCCAGTCTCATCCATTTTCCGTATCCTTGTAGATTCCGGACGAGGATGAAGAAACCAGGCTCTATCGGTTAAAAATAGAGGAGCAGAAGCGTCTGAGAGAAGAGATCCTGAAACAAAAAGAGCTGAGAAGGCAGCTGCAAGCTGGCATGAGAAAGAAAGAACTGCTGGAACGAATCACGAGCCAGTATCAGCCACAGCAGCAGCAACAACAGCAACAACAGCCACCTCTGCAACCTCAGCCCCCTGTACAGCTGCAACAGCAGCAGCCATCTCAGACCCAAAACACGCCGCTGCCCCCTTCTAACGGCGTTCAGCAGGCGCCCCAGCCCGGAGCCGTGCCGCGACAGAATGTGAAGAACCGCCTGCTGCTGAAAAAGCCCCCGGCACAGGGGTGGCCTGGTGTGCCCCAGCAGAACGTGAGGCCCCAGCAGTCTGGGCTAAACTTGCAGACTCAGTGGCCGACCCGGAAAAATGTGAACCAGTTCAATCAGGCCAGGCAAGGACCCCAATTCCCGACCCCGCCGGCTCAGCCCAAACCTGCGGCCGTGTCAGCTGTGCCCGGGCAGCAGCAGCAGAGTGGTGGGAGGGAGGCGTTTGGACAAGGCAGGCCGCAGGAGCTGAAGCCTGGTGTGAAAAGGACTGTAATGCAGAGATCCAACAGTGGGGGGAGAGATGGGCCACATGGCGTCACAAAAGTCAGGGTAGTCAAGATATTAGGAGGGGTAAGTACATTTTTGTTTGAGGTGGTTGCCACTGTGTTCAGGTTTCGAAACGGTAATATGCTGAGGGATTTTAAAACATGGGATGTTGTACAGCATTTTTTTGTAACTTGAATAGTTAAATGCGCTGCTCTCCTGGGATCTTAATTTGTGTTTAATCCTGATTTATTACCCTAATGTTCTGAGCCAACCTGGGCTGTGCAATTAGGCAGCTTAGATTCCACAAGCTTATAGCCAGGGCCAGGCACATAGCGGTGTGGGTAGGCTGAAGTCGGCCAGGGTTTCCCCACCACGACCCTTGTGGCTTGCTGTCACTGCTGTGACAGAGCAGTGGTATCAGGACCTGCGGAAGTCCTCAAATTGATGGTTCCTCCACCTGCAGTGTGTTGTGTAGGTGAGCTGTGTGAAAAATGGTGGGTGGCTCAGACAGTGCTGATTTTGCAGGAAGGATTAGTGCTATGCTTCATCAGACTTTCCAGTGTAAGCTTCCTTGAATTCTTGTAGTACATGAGAAAATAACATAAGACATGTGAAATCAGTTTAGCTTTGAGTGTTTTTTCAATTTGTTCTGGTCTGGTGCAAATTGGACTTTTCCGTCTGTTCTAACGCTTATGTTCGTGATTACATAATGTGCTGCTGTTCTTCTCTTCACGTCTGAAGCAGGAGGTTGAAATTTTGAAAATCGGTGCTTTTTTGAAGGTTCAAGCATGAAGCTTTTCAATGAAAACCTGTAGGACTTTGTGTTCAATGTAAAAGTATTTTTCAACTTGGTCTCTGTTTGCCAAGGCCATGTGTTGCTTTAAAAGAGCAGGGTGACAGGAATCTAGATTTTGATATTGCAGATCCACTCTGTTCACAGATTGATCTACTGTACTTCAAACGCTAAACTCGGGGAACATCCACATGTTGCGATGAAAACAATCCTGTATGCTAATGCGATTTATTGAATTGAGCAATTTGAGTACTGAATGTTTTAACAACCTCAATTCTTGTAATTAAAATGGGACGGGTGTAGCCAAGTTTTGTTTAGACTTAATGATGGTATTGTGATAAGTTTTTGTCATAAAAATCCTTTTTATAATCATCTTGCACAAATGCTGTAAAGCCAGAATTATGCTGTCAATAAAGATAACTTGGTGTCAGTGGTAATAGAAACTTGCGCGGAAATATTTGTAGGCAGTGGAATCAGTGGCAGCACCTTTGACAGTGAGGAATAGCCCTGCTGAAAGGCAGATTCACAGGATGCTGCCCTGGGACGTTGTTCTGCTGTCCTTCTCAGCAGCCTGACAATGTTATCTTTCCTTTCAGTTTTGAGCATCAAACATCTTTCAGGTGTACAGAAATTAATGTCATCCGACGACATGCAATTAATCTTTTACGGAGACTCTATAATACCTGTGAAGAAAGAGTTGCCAGTTTGGCGGATTTGGATTTTGGAGCTTAGCCATAGATAAGGGAAATTAATTTTTCATCAAGAATAATACAGGCTAACAGGACCACAAAGCCTGAGGGAAAACGGATGGGGGAATTTGTCAAGTGTTGTCACTCCAATATAATGCTGCTTAGCATTTGATAGGTGTAATCAAGGGTTGTGATTTCTATGGAGAGGGATTAATCAATTTGCACTCTGCTGAATGCAGGTTGGTGATAGCGCTTCTTGCTGGGGCTGAAGAATGAAAATAAGATTTGATCTGTCAGATTCCGAGAGGACTTTGGGAAGACTCTTTCTCAGACGGCATCAAAATGAATTCCTACGCAATTGTAAATGAAAATGTATCGCTGACAGATGCTTTCATTTAACACTCGAAGTCTTCTATTGAGAAAGAAAAACTTCACCGTGCAAAAGGGAACACATCAGAATCCCACATATATAATCATAGTAATTGAAATACAGCTAAATTGTTTAGAAAAGTATTGTTGCAGTCTTCAATTTCCATTCTTGTATCGTAATTAAGCATCCTGTCCTTTATGCTGTCATCTCTGTTATGATGAAGTTCTGCTGTTATGGAGTATCATATTAGTTATTCTGAGCCCTGTAAGTTGTTTATGCTTACAAGGTTCTCATTAAGGTTTTACAGTGGGAGGCTTCACAGTAGGAAGGTGAGAGGCCATATGCAGCCTGGGAAGGTCACAAGGACAGAAGCATGTTGCGGTAGACTGCGAGGAGAGCATGGCACTGCTAAAAGTTTCCAGTGTTTCTTGGGAAATAGTGGATTTGTGTTGCTGTTGAGGTTAAAACAAGACTATAAGAAACATAATGTTACATTTCTTGGTTGTTTTTTTATAAATTAAGCTTTAGAATCCTAACAGCTCTGGTTTATTTTTGATTAAGGGTGAGCTTCCCAGCTTTTCTGTAATACACACAAGATGAGATCAGTGTTCATAAGCTATTCTGTAAACAAGTTTCTGTCATTTAAACTTGATTAGTTTATGTCCTGTTGCCTTTGCTATAGTTAGTTATTGTAAACATTAAATTTACATTCGTTCAACTACAAAACTCTCGGAACATTTTAACTTCAGGCATGATCCCTGAACGGTGCAATTGAAGAATATTGGTTGTAAAAGTATAGAAATTTAGATTTTTACTTTTACTGATACCTCTGTTTGGTTTCCCATCTTTGATTTGAAGCAGTGTCAGCAGAAAGTAGTTTTCACTGATTTTATTAAATGCTTCCATCTTTTGCACAAAACTGCAAAAAACCTTGAACAATAATTCTGTCATTTTGAATCAGATTCCCTCACAGTTATCTGTTATCGTATGATTAAAGATTTGGTTGGCTGTTTAAAAATATAAATAAATTGCTCTGTTGAAGTCTTAGGAATTTGCACTCAATTATAAAAACCTAATTGAGGAATCAGCTCAGAGTATTTTTATTTCCAGGCAGGTTGTGCAGCATTTGGATTCATTATCAAGAGAACATAATTCCTGGCAGAACTAGAAAAATGTTGAGCAAAAACTTTCTTGCATTTAGCATGTTTACTGACTTCTCCAGTGCTAGAATCAGCTAGTCAGTGATAGTGTAGCTGTTGCACATTTAATATCAGTAGGCACTCAGAATAACATACCAAAAATAGCACAACATAATTAGAAAAATCAGTGCACAATTTATGGACAGGTCTTGTGTAGATCTGAACTAGGGAGTGTGCTGTAACATGGAGTAGCTGGGTAAGCCACAATCGTTTTTCTCAGTGGTCAAGTGGTCTAATGAAATGCTGTTTTATATTCTGTACTGAGCCCTAGCATATTTAAATGAGGAGTCTCAACACTTAGGTAATACTACTATAAGAGAGCTCATGATTGAGTATTCATAACCATGACCCTGATTTTCGTGTTGAAGGTTGATATTTATACCTTGGCTGTTCCTAATTGGAAAATGGGCGGTTTGTATATTTTGGAACATATGCCTTTTAATATGACAGCTCTCTATTTTTCCTCTGTTTTAACCATTATATATCCAATTTTAGATTTATTTTGTTTAAAGTCACATTACCACTAGCATCAGAAAGCTTTTAAAACTTGTTTGAAGTCGCACAAAAAATAATCAGTGTTTTTTGTTGTTTAGTAATTAAGGCACAGAGACATCTTACAAATTTTATACATCAGAGTGGAATTCATAGTAGTATATTTTTAGCAGCAGCAAGATTGGAAAAATGTTTTCTCTCCATCTGGAAGAAGTGATATCTGGGTGCATTTTGTGTTACATATTTTAAGCTGGGATTGGTGAAACTGTACCTTTTCCTGGTTTAAAGGTAGTAGACAAAACTTTCACATAGTTTGCTGAGCTATCAATAGGCGTTCAAAGAAAAAGAGAAATGGTTGTAAATCAAAAAAGGTTAATTCACCGGCATAAAAGTTAAGGGTACATCTAGAGGTTCAGTGCTGCATGTTTTGTAACCTAGGTATTTACCAGGGTACATTTGTGCTAGAGAATATAATTTTTAAAGTTCTCGCAGTCCAGATTTTAATAAGCACTTCCCATGAGAGTCTCCCTGCAGAGCATCAGCAAAGTGTAACTTGTTTTCCTGAGCATTTTTGACCTCTTGTTACACAGGCCAAGAAGAAGCAAGCAATCCTGAACTTTTCTGTCCTTAAGAAATCTTCGCACTCAGGGTACTCATTCAGAGAGTTATCATAGCTTCATGCCTACTTTGATTGCCTCAAAGCAAAAGCTTCTAAGCACCACAAATACGAAATGTAGTACTTAACATTAATAAAACAAAATTCATACACGTTTCTCCATCAACAGGAATCATCACTTGAGGTTAATACTTTGATATTACGGTTTTGTGCCTTACTTCTTGACTTGTATTGATTAACCGTGTGCCATTGTCCTGATGGTAGATGACAGAGCAAGGGGAGACTGTTAAGTCCCAAGGTGTTTAATCTACAGGGGGAAGAAGAACCTGACTACACTGATCCAGTGCAGCAGCAGCAGCAGCAACAGAGGATCCAGCCTCCACCTCAGCAACAGAGGCAGCCAGCGCAGCAGCAGAGGCAGGTGCCTCTGCGGAAGGTAACCATGGGCAGGGCACCAGTCCAGCACCTGCAGCAACAAAAGCAGAACCAGCAGCAAGCAGGCCTGCAGGGAGGGAGAGGCACTTTTGGCATTCAGTCTCAAAACAGGGTGAGTTACCCACACAGCCTCCCTCCCCCAGTACAGTAGTCCTTTCTCTGATCATTAGTTGGGTCCTGAGAAAATCAGACCTTTTCTAAAAAAAAGAACATATATGCTGGGTGTATGAAGAAAGTAACAATTTAACTGTTTATTTCACATAATTATTTATAACAATGGGAATTTTATTTGATCGGGGGGGGGGATAAAGATTCTTGCCATAGACAGTAGATGGCGATGGTCTCCACGCAGGGACACTTGACAAGCACCACTTGGCCCGTTCCATGATGTTGGAGAAAGCAGCTTAACTCCACAGATCTGATTTCTCAAACTTGACTGTTTTGGTTAGATGTTCATGACTCATTTGCAGTTGTTTGCGTTCTGCTTGAAGAAATTACCTACATTTTGTTTGTCTATTTTTAGTGGCGTGTTTGTAAAACCAAAAAAACTTTCAAAGGTCCACATTTAGGGAGTTTCATGTGTTTCTGGTTTCAGTAGACATGTGGAATGTTACTCTGTTAGATTTGCAGTTTGTATGTTGGATTCAGTTTCAGCCTTTAGATGAAGACTGGAGTACGTTGCCGTTTCAGCAAAGATCCACAGCGATTTTTCTTTTAGTACAAATCCGCTTGTAAAGATAAGCATGTAAAGCAGCTATGAAAAGTTGCCAGTGAATACTGGTTTCTGGACCCAGCTGCTGAGGCTTTTTTAGTTGGTGTTGACACATGCAGTTTGTCTTTCTTACATTTGGCCTACAGTATTGTACTTGCTTCCTAGGAGAGGAATCACATGGAGACGTTGAAAGAGTGACCGATACATAAATTAAAAGTTGGCAATTGTCTTACCATTTTTTGCATTCATAATTTTTCATTTTGTGGTGTGTGAATAACATTTATGTTGCCATTTTGACGCATTTTGGAATGGCGTCTGATGGTTACTGTGGAATTTTGTATATTTTTGGTATTGTACTAAAAACAAAGTAACAAATTACACACAAATGTGCTTCTTAGAACTTAATATATGAGACCGGGAAGAGTGAGAAGGGATGTTTACAGTTTACACATGGGCAGATTTAAGCATACATGTTCGTATTTGCATCTTTTGTGTTTGAACATATTTAAAATTGGAAGTTTAAGGCACCTGCTTGATTTAATTGATTGCTTTCTCTGATGGTGTTGAAGTTCTTTATAATCGTGCGTGTGCAGATGTCTCAGACAACTTACGTCTGCATCCATGTCATAAAGTGTATTTTAATGGTTTGCAAAAAAACAGAGCAAAATCACAACTATAATACTCAAGTATAATACTGCATTTAAAGTGTCAGCCATAATACGAATGATGGCTAATTTTATAAGGATGAGATGTCTCAAACAGTAGATTTAGACACCGATATTTTTGTATTTTTTCCTGAATTTTAATTCCAACTATTAAAACATCAGCAGGCGGCAGAAGGGCAAACTAAATTGGTTGGCTCACTCCACACCTTGTGCTCTCGGCAGGTTGTTATGCAGGGGCGAGGCAGAGTGGGAGCAGGCCAGATGGGCCGGGGCCGCTTGATGCCAAACAAACAGAACATGCGAGTGGTGGAGACTCAGCCATGCATCGTGTCAATTGAAGGGCTTTCTTCGTCAACCACTGATGTCCAACTGAAAAACCTGCTGATGTCAGTAGGACCCATTCAGGTAGGTCACCCTTCTTTATGCTCTTCGCTGTCAGAAGTCTTTTCACCCTCGAAGGTTGATATTATCAGTGCAATTTACTGTGAAACTGATTAACCCTTTTCTAGCAGCTCTTTATCATGAGCATCGTGAGCTGCTAATATTAACTTTTTGAAAGTGCATGCAGTCTGATTGGGCTTCATGTTTATACAACTGCTTCATTTGTAAGGAGACAGAGAAGGGGTAAAGAAATTCGATCTGTTGTATTAATTCTTTGCTACTTGAGTAGCAAATATGTTTGAGGTTTTTTGAATATCTGAAATAACAGGGTTGATGGTTTTACGCATTGCACAGTTGCAAACTAGTAAAGCAGGACTATTTGCATTCAGCAACAATTTGCTAATTGGAAATTAAATTCAATTTTAATTAAATGGAAGAATGGCATTGGCCATTGTGTAGTAAAGTTCTTGGATTAGCAGTATACCACATTGTTAATCCACACTTGAACTCTAAGGAACAATTTTGCTTACTATGGTAAACAATCTTTCACCATAAAATAAATAAGTTCATAGGTTTTATATTTGAATGTTTTGTGATGGAAATAAAATAAAGCGAGAAGTCGTTCCATTTTTGTTTTTATGAAGTATGCATGGGCTGCGTGTTTTGCTGAAATTGGTAGTCACTTTAAAACCTTAACCGCGCATCAGAACAACAATACTTGTTTATTCAGCTAAACATTCTATACTAACACATTCAAAAATGAGAAGTATTGGAGTTATAAAACAGCAGTTTTTCCCACAATGATGGACTCAGTCTTTACTTTCATAGTTAAAACTTAAATGCTGATTGTCACTATTGAAATTATTGTGGCACGGAAGAGAAGGGTAATATCTTTGCTATTCTGAGGTTTCAGTTTCATTGTCACTTCCGTTTCTGTTTGATTTGGGGATAAGGAATAGCATGCACCTTCAGGAGCTTCAGAAACTATGAAAAATGTGTACTTTTTATTATACCTGATATATTCAGACATAAAATATTGAGATCTATCTTGACTGTGCTGTTGGAATCACCTAAAGAAAAGTTTGGCCTTAATAGTAATGTTCTATGTATATGTGGCTCTTAATATTTTTATTTTCATGGTTTAAAGGCAGTATACTCTTTCCGTCCATTTCTGCTGATTGTGTGTGACAAACATATTTCTCATTATGGAATGTTTAAATCATCCCTGAGAGAGAAAACTATTTTAATGGATTTGAATAAAAAATAAAACCCAGTGTTAAATTAATCCCAATAATAAATACAAATAAAGGGTCCCGAGTATTCCCAAATGCTTAATGGTATTATCATTGTTTTTCTGTATTGTGAATAATTTCCTTGCATTTGTTATTTATTGCTCTAAAAATTCATCTGGTATATATGAAACATATAATTTAGCTAAACCATCTAAGCACTTTATCAAATATCTTCATTCTCAGGACTTCTATAGGTGATATGTTCTGTTTCTGAAAGTACTGATCAGTGATGTGTACATGTTTTGGAGATACTTATGCATCCTGAACATCTTGACTATTTTAGTTATTCTGGAATGTTTGAAGTGTAGACCAACCTGCTGCCTAGATGCCAGAGGTTAAACCAAGGCTTAAGTCTTTAAAAAGAATACAGGTTATCTTAAGAAATTTAAACTTTGCTAGCAGCTAGCTAGTGACTGCAAAACTGCACTGTTGATTAATTTAGCTGCAAATTCAAAAAGCCCAACCACTTCTAATACGATGTGTAATTTCAAAATGCGTGCTTTCAAAAACCGGCTTCTGAGGAGACATTCTTATAAATGCTAGGATCATTTCAAGCAATGTCAGCTCTTCTGTAAGTAGTTTCCAATAGGAGAAACTTGTTCATGCGCAGGTACCTCAGAATCTTACGTCACTTTTCTGATTGTCTAGACCAAGCAGTAGTCCATGCAAACACCCAAGAACATGTCAGAAGTGTGTATAGCCTAGTCTTGGCAATAGATAAATGCTCTTGAGAATAAGCCCCTAAATATTTTCAGAAAATGGGAACAATTGACTCCCTCCCATAAAAAATAATAGGTGATCATTTCATTAAAGTAATTTGTGGGCGGCAAATGATTGAAAAGATACAACTCTAATTAGTCTTGTCAGTTAATAAGTCTGATATGCATCCCAGGAAAGGACTAATGGACTGATACAAATGAGAATTACTATTAAAGAAACTTTCAGATTTGCTGAAAAGTATTATAGTATTGAAGAATTAATTATCTGACCTTTTGTCACAGATTAATTTTATTAGGAATGTATAATATTATGATCAATTTTTAACGTAGTTCTGTAAGCATTGAGGTAAAGTTCCTAGATGTATTTTTGCAGACATTTATTAAAAGTGGACACATTTGTTCTTGAAAAAATCACTGTCCTAATATTTCTTAAGCGTTGAAATGTTCATGGTAGATAAATACTTTGGTTAAATGTTTTTTTTTCTGGACTAAATTGGGGTCTATATCATGTATGTCTGCTCTTTCCCTCATAGCACAATATTATTGGAGAGCAAGGACAGATCCATATAAAGTAAGTGTTTAAGGGCCCATAAAATGACTCACTGTCTTGTATAAAGCATAGACATTAGATTTAAAAAGACAAAGATAAAAGCTTTCTGTTATTGCTTTTTTGTGGAAGATTACCTCCTGGCTGTTGGGGACCTTAGCATACGAAATCAATAGTGATTTAAAACCTGAACTTCTGAATTGTTTCAGTACAAAGACCCATATTTCATTCAGATGTGCAGTATGAGACAATGAAATTGCCTACAGTTGTCGAAACCGCTGGGATCTAATCACTCATGGGTTATTTTTTCTTGTTTATAGTTACTGTTACAGTTCAGAGTTTTGAATGGGGGTTTTGGGAATCTTTGCTCTAAGGGATCGCTGCTTTTATGTTATGTTCTCCTTGTTGATCACCAGATTTCATGGTATTTTTGCATTTTAGTGAGATTTTCTCATTCATTCATTAATGGAAGAGAGAGATGCATAAAGCAGCTCTAATTACTTTAACTTTGAATAAAATGGGTTATTAGAAGCAAAACATTTACATGAAATACTTAATTGTATTAAGAGAATACATTCTAATCACTGATTTTGGTATCTTGCAAGTTCATAAATAGTTCACTATATAGTGCCTTTCAGAAATTTTCACCCCATTTTCCCACATTTGATTTCCTCCTTAGCTTGTAATAAGGACACTTTTAAATAGGACTTTATAATGTGAATCTGTATCAAACGGATAGTTTAGAAATGTATTATGTATAGAAGTCGGAATTTTGTAGAAAATTACTACAAAGTCTCTCAGTTGTATTGAACCCCTCTGTTATAGCAATCCTACATTAGGTTCAGGTGCAAAAGATTAGTTTAAAAAGTTGCAAAATTATTTATCTCCCTTTGAGTAACCAAAGGTGACTACAGATTGCATCTGTCTCTTCGTTCCCCTTTTAAGAACATAAGAGATTCCAGATTAAAAAGAAGCCATTCAGCACATCTAGCCTGTTGTTAGGTATTGACCTTTAAGCGACAACTCGCATAGTGAGATGACAAACCAGCCACGAAGATCAAAGCTATTTTGGAAAAAATCGGGGATAAAGTAGCAGAGAAGAACTTCTTTTGCTGAATTTTAAAGTTCATAGACAATCTTTAAGAAGTGGAATATCCATCATACTATCCTGTCACAACCTGCATCAGACCACCTTTCCAGCCTGACTAGCAGGAAACTGTTTAGAGGTGCCACCATGAGGCCACGTTTACCAAGTTCCGTGTCTGAGACTGAAGTCAGTGCTGATGCATATCCTGGATGATATCCGTGTTATCTCTACATCTAAAGATGCATATTGGCGAGTGGCAATAAAGATGCCATTATTTGAAATATTTGACAAATTAAAGAACGACAGACATTATAAACGATTGCGTGTTCAGGGGAGATGGGCATTGAACGTTTTCATCTAAAGACAATGTCATATGCAGAGTAAGATCAATGCAGCACATTTCCCATTCAGTACCATTCTAGCTGTCAGACTACAGTGGTGTGGAAATGGCATGTTATGGGAATGCCCCTCGTCATCAGGGACTAGGAAGCTTGTCAGTGTTGAGGGGAAAATAGGTGGTGCTGAGAATAAGTGGATCCTAGAGGAAAACTTGCTTGAGTCAGCCAAGAATCTAAAACTAAGAGAAAGATTCACATTTTAACAGAACACTATTTTCCCAGGAACATTAGACAAAAAATTGCACCTTCCCGCTGTGCAAAACACGTGGAGACCTACTGAAAAAGACTCAGCCCTTATTGACGCCAAAATCACTAACTCCTGAACATTGGGGTTGAATACTTATTCAGTCAGCGATTTGTGATTTTAATATTCAATTCACTTTCACAATTCAGGTTGAATATTTGCTGGTTTAACCTACTTCATATGTAACTGTTGAGCTTGATGCAGTTTTGAATAAACATTTGTGAAAATACAACTTTTTATGATGTGGGCTGGAGGTGAAAGTATTTGCAAGGCACTGTATAGGCATATTCTTTTTGTGTGGTACTGCGTCGCGTCTAAAACGAGTCTTTTTGAATTGGCCGTGACAGGAGTCGGGAATCTTTGACCTGGAGAGAGTCCCCTGGCCTAGTTGAGAGGTGGAAGCCTGACCTTGTTGTGAGGATCAATTATTAACCCCAAGCGGTGAAGATTGTCACAGTAGAAAAGTAGCAGCCAGCTCTCCTCTTTTTGAACCCTGGCATGATAGGCTCTGTGCAGTATGTTCTTCATTGTGATAACTTTCCAAAAGATGAAGACAATGTGAAGATCAGATACACCTTGTTCCATTATCACCTTTCTCTGGTTTATTTCTCTTGTCACCGAATCCTGTTCCTTGCCATGTCTGTGAGCTACTGCTGTAACTTTGGGTCCATGCAGATTATGTGCCCAAGCTGTGCTGTAAGAACGTTCAGCTGTGGTATTACACCAGGGAGTGTTTCACAAGGGTATCATATCAGTTGTGCTGTGCGTTTTAGGATAAATTTAATGCTAGTACTTTTTGTCTGAAGTGAGGTGTGCAAACATTCGGTTCACCTCTGAGAACGATGCAGGCATATATTAACATTACTTGGCATTTTTAAAATTTGACGCCTTCTGTTTCTAGGTCTAATTTAAAAAGGGGGGTTTGTGCAAGTTCCGTGGTCTCGAAATTTAATTTCTGAGTTTTTCTGCTTGTGTTAGTGTGACAATGTGCCTTTTTTAATGAAAAGGAAGAGTGCCAGAGAAGCTCCAATTTGAACATATTGTGTCATTTGTTAGGCCATGAGACCCTGAACCACATCCTGTGTTCTGTTTTCTAGTTAGCCTTCTGAGTTTTACTTACCTCTGTTACCTTCGAAAATCTAAAGCACATAATCCCATCTGAAAGATCTCACCCTTTTGGCGAAATCTTTTTCCAAATTGCACTTTAATGCTAAAAGTGATTTTCTTTAAATTATTTATCATTATTTCAGTCCATAGAATCACAAGTTTCTAATGGGTATTATTTTTTCCCTTCTGGTACTTAATGAATGTACTTTATTTTCTTAGAAACTGGCTTTTGTTTTCTAATAGAGTTCTTAGAGGAGCAAATTGTACTTAATGAAGATGATTCCATTTATGTTTAGTGGTGGCCTGTGCATTTTGTTTGTTGCATAAAAAAGGGTCTGTAAAGAGATGGATTACAGCAGGGGTATAGTTATTTTTTCTTTTGCTTATTGATACATGTTGCTGCCTGCAGCCTTAAATTGGCATTATACCAGGTTTGTAGGTCACTGCACTTGCCTTTCATGGGTAAGGTGAAAGATAAGGGTCATTTATAGTGTATATTCTTCTTTTTATGATCTCTAGAAGGCAAGCATTTTCAAGAGCTTTTATTAAACATTTTGTTAATGAACTTGAATTGCAATCCCACCACATAAGTTGTACATTTCTGCTGTTATTCTTGCTTTATAAGTTGATATCAAATGTTTGGCTACCTCACTCCTGTGTGAATTTTTGAAAAATAAATTTTTGAGAAATACTAAAATCTAACTTATAGTTCACTGTAGTGTCTCATTTGAAACACACATTACCTAAGTAAATATTATCTGGCCTAAATTATTTAGGAATCACAACCCTTGATCTCATTAATGAAGTAAATCTTTCTTTAGCTTTTGTTTTTGGTGCTTGAGCAGTGTGCTCTAAATATGAGGTTGAAAGGTAAATCACCATGTTCAGCAAGCAGTGTCCACTGCCTCATGCAATAAGATATGCAAGAGAAATGATAGATAATTTCATTTAATCAATGATTTCTATAAATGATAAGAAGCTGTATGATTTGAAATGTATACATTTTCAAAATGTTAATTGTATGTCAGATCTTAGGATGTGATCTTAGTTTGCTTTTGTTTCTGCTTGTCAGTGTACAGCATTTATACCCCTTAAGGCCATTTGGTCCCATCCTGGGTTGAAATTTTTAAGTACAGACTTACATGTGCTGCAGAAGCATACTGTTTCCTTTGCACCTACAAAAGACTGCCTGAACATTGCTTTTACACTGCAGCAATATATAAGTTACTCTAAGACCAGCTTTTTCAACACTTTTTGCTAAAATTCTGTTTACCTCTACTATTGGAAGCAAGTGTCCTGTTATTACCGAGAACCGTTTTTTTCTTTCCCTGTCCTCTCTGTATTATTCCTATACCGTCCCATTCCAAAAAAAGCACGTTACAAAACGTAACATTTGGCATCAGTCATTCTCGACTGATGGTGATACACTGCAATGACTTTGTTGTAGAAGCACTGAATCACTTCTTTGGAGAGAGGGTTGATTATTTACATATGATAGTTATTTAACCTGTTTAATGTCAAGCTCAAGATTTGTAATTTTCCTGCAACCAGTTCAACTGCAAAAGAGACACTTGTACATTAGATGTTCAGTTGTGCGAAGGCGTTTTCAGGGCCGATAACCTCACAGGGCTCAACAGTTCACCATTGTAACAGAATGCCGTGAAAAAACTAAATCTTGGGCGAAGTTGCCATCACTGGAGACAGGTTCTCTTGTGCAGTGAATGAAGATATACTGTGCATCACTTTGATGCACATCCATGAGTTTAGTGCAGACATGCAGAAATATGCACTAATTGTTGACCAATCAATGGGCAAGTCTAGGTGTGCATCAGGCAGGCGGCAGCAGTGTGTATTATAAAACTCCTCTTGGAGTAATTGATGTCACTCAAAAGCACTACATTAGTCAAGTGCTAAAGCTGCACTATGTGGGCACATCATGAGATGACAGCATTGTTGCCTGTATAACAGCGGAATTCTTGTGAGGTGAGAAAGGGGTAGTTATGCTTTGAAGTCCTTTCTCAGACCTGTTGAAAAATTGTGGAACATGCTGCAATGGTGTGTGGCCTTTAGAAGTCAGAGACCAGTAAACAGGCACGTGCCTGTCCAGGTTGCACAAAAGGAATGGGACAGAATCCCACAAGACAGCATCTTTAACATATTAACATATTGTAAATCATGCTGGGTTTTCTTCTAATGTTGGCTACATATGCCTGTGACTTTCAATTGTCCTTGTTGATGACCCCTGTTTATGACAAATTTTAATCACCGTAATTAATTTACCTTTATAATGGCTGCTCAAGAGAATATAATATAGTCCACCTGCTTCGTAAAAGGTTATTTTCCCATTAATAACCTTGTATATTTGTGGCAGTTACAAGTTACTTTTAATGCTTTTAAGCATTATTGTAATTCATAATTCATGAAGTATTTCCTGTACTTATAGGGCAGTGTACCATTAAGGGGTAAAGATATAGGTTCCTTACTTCAGAATGTGTCCATATTGATTTCCAGTCCAAGAGGAAGAGGACAGCACATTGTTCCCCACAAGGGGAACATCGTGGCAGACCCAGGATCCCAGAAGGGTACGAAACATAAAGACAGACAACCTCAAAAGCCAAAAAACTAAGGTGAAAAGCAGGCAGTGTTGGAATTAAGGTGTGTCAGGATGTCACACGGCTTTTGTTGTAGTAGTGTCTTCATGATAGAAATCACAGATATAGTCACGTCTAACAAACAACTTGCATGCTATAAAAGAGGCAGGGGATTTCAGTTTTTGAAATATTTTGTAAAAAGGCAGAAGAGCTCAGAAAATTTACCTTGGGTAATTCTCATGGGAATACATGTTCATATGGTGATTTTTCTCTTCCTGAATGACTGAAGTTACTGATCTTAAGGGTGAAGTAGCAAACTGCTGCTTTAATGTTTCATGTCATATCCTTTAGCATACTTTGGAGAAGCGACTTTAGTGCCCAATATTAAATTAAAATGTCATATTATTCAGACAAAATAGAAAATCGAAATGTGAAAGTAAGGCCAACCCAGTGGACTTTTCAAATCAGCATTGAAAGAAAAACTACAGGGAGCAAGTGGGAACTACAGAGAAGTTCTTTTACAAAGTAATAGTGAGCATTTTGTTTCACGAGTCATGGGCGTAGCAGGGATACTACCCAGATAGCCTTGTTGAAGATTTTGGTGGCCTGCCTTTTTTCAAGAAAAGACTGGATATAATCCTAGGATTAATGTGGGCAATTAAATGAGCTATACATGTTGAGTGGTCTTTGCTTATTTTTTAACCTTTGTTTTTTTATTCAAATGAACATGCCTTTGAAAATGGGAAGTACTAACTATAAAATCCTTAAGGAGATGCTATTTTTGACCATAATATCAGGTTTTGTAACCTTCGTTATAAATGATAAATGTGACACCTCTATTTGTCAGTGGCAGTGTTAGAGAGAGATTCTTTCCCTCCTTCACGTGTACAGTCTCTTATTTTCAGTGCCTGCAGATTTATGACCCACTTGTAGTATGTCAAGTTTATTTTGTAACTGTCCTGTCATTTATTGTAACCTAAATTAAAGAACATTTTTTGAAGTGTCTTAGGTCAACAGGCACAATGTGATCTATATTTAGCTCCTGCCAAATAGAGTACCGCTCTCTTCTGTCCAGATCATATACTTGATCTCAGACCTGTTTAAGAAATAAAGACCTTGGCCTGGATTTAATTAAAACTTCTACTACCTGCCAAATGCAACTTTCAGTTTCAATCCATTCGGGGCCCTATTTGCAACCAGGTCATTGTCTGAAGAAGTAATTCGTGGCAATTAATTGCTGTTAATCTTTCCAATTAACACTAAGGTTGTGTTCAGTTTCAATTAGCCACACTGACAAGCAATTAATGTAAATTAAAATCACTACCCTTACCTTGCAGTGGGTGCAATTAACATTAATCTCTTGACAGTGTAGGAGTTTCGGATCGCCTGCATGGTGATATATTTTTAAGAAGGTGGGTTACATAGGGATGCTGAATGAAAAGTGGAATCCCTGTTTTTATCCACATCTCGCCTAACTCTTCATTCCCTGTAGTCTAAAACAGGTTGTGAGCTTTTGACCTGTGGTCTTTCTTAATTGTTTACATCAATTAAAGATAAATCAGATATAATGAGAAAAATATAAAATGGGGGAATCTATTGGATCAGCTTTTGCTTTGTGACTGTGCTATTTGCTTTCTTAGCATGGCATGCACCTTCTAGAGTACCTCTAAAATGGTTTATGTTCTCTGGATAAAATCCAGGTTTGCCCAAAATTATTGCAGGTGTAGGTTTGATATTTTCTGATTTTAATTTTCTGATAAATCAACAATGAAAACAGAAGTGTTGCCATCTTAGTGTGTTTAGATAGGCCAGAATTAGATGAAATTGTGACATGAAAGTATTGCCCTGTTTTCTGAGCTTTATTTCTGACATTTAAATAGCTAACCAGATGTGATTGGGTGCGGTATTGCATTACTTTGTGGTTCTGATATGCAAATCCTTTTGACTTTGATCTTTTCTCAGTGTTCAGCACAGCTTCCCATTTCACACACCTAGTAGTCTGATTGTTTTTTTTTAATTTTTTTGTTCCAGATGTTTGAAATGCTGCCAGAACAAAGGAAAGCCATTGCAAAATTTTGTAATCCACAGCATGCGTCAAGTTTTCAGCAGAGGTTCCACAGGTACAACTTTTTGCTTATTAATTTCTACTGCCATCTACCTTGAAATTAAACATTTCACCGTGTAGCTAAAAACAGACTCCCCTTTAATTTAAAAAAAAACTGAAATCGAGTAGTGGTATGTTCACTCATTTAAACCTTTTCTTTTCACGTTCTGCAGGCACATGATAGATTTGTCACATATAAATGTGTCACTGATCGCTGACTAAGATGCTGTGTGTTCGCACTGAGCGCCGGGTGACATGACGATGTAGAGGTGGAGGGGAATGATGGGGAGGTCGCTGTGAGACTCATGTCAGCGCACACAGACGCACGGGCAAATCTAGCTTCAAGTCCTGACACAGCCTTGTGGAACAGTGGAATCTGCAGACTCACGGGATGAAACGGGCCCAGCGACACAGGAAGATGTGCACTGCTACCTGAGGATTTTGTGCTTTAACTCACAACTTGTGACTATTTTCTGGTCATCCATGAATGCTCACTCCAGACGTAGAATCACAGCACGTGCTCGCTTTACCAGTGATGACTTTACAAGGGAAGCTGGTGAAGATTTGCTTTTCCTGTGCATAAGAAAGACATTAGTAGTGAATAACACTTGATAATGGTTGTTCTCATCTTTAAAACACTTTTTCTCAGAAACTCAGCTCAGTCTCACAAACTCAGTCTATGTATCTGGAAAATTCATGGTCAGAAAGCTTGGACATCTCTCTGTAGGTGGTTTCTTCTGGATAATTGATCAGCTTAATTGTGTTTGTACAAGAAACAAGTTTTGATTTTTATGTAGGTGCTGCTGTTACTCTGGAAAGACAATTTGGCCTGCCCGTTTAAATTTTCTCTTCCATGCAGTGCCGTAGAGAGGCTTTAGATGGCAGCATTTGACAGTACAAATCAAACCGAAGCGGTCACTTTCTGCATTTTGATTTGCAGTATGTGACCGTTCCAGATGAAAGCCCCCTTAGTTTTGTCAATATCGCCACCTTGTGGACGTAAATGGGTGAATGTAAGCCATCGTGTTCAATGACGGATTTTCTCTCCTGACATTTTAAAATTTGACTAAGTTTAATTGCTTTTGTTTCATTTGAAACATGAGACAGACAGTGTGGTTTTAAAAAAGACAGTATGCCTTCTCAGCAGAGGATTTATTTGTTTCAGTTACTGCTAAACTGAGTTTCAGGATAAGCTTTCTGTGTATATGTAACTTATACTTTTCCCTTTCGTAACATAAGTTCTCTCAACAAAGGTATGAAAAGTTTCTCTTGACATAATAGGTGAAGGTCTAGTTTTGAGTTGCTTATAATTGAGAGCTGCATATCTCATCTGGCATTCTCTTAACTGTAACTAGGTTGATAAACTCATAGCAAGTAATGAGAAGATATTCTTTGCTTCCCAACAGAGCAGTCTGACATTTTTACTTAAATTTCCAAATTTCTACTGTTCCATGGTCTGAGCTGCATTTTCGGTAGAAAATGACTTTGACTCTGTGACGCCCTATTGCATTTCAGTTATCATATGTAGTTTTCATGTTTTTTTTTTTAAATCATCTCTTTCTATAGAACAAATATAGTTCCTCAGTTATAGTCTGGTCTTCGTAAGGATTGACAAGTTCAAATTTAGAATTCAATCAAAATAAAGTTGGTGGTTTTAATCTCTGCATCCATATAGAGATTCATTTTACATTTTTCATTTGCAGGATAAAATCCTAATTAATGTGGTTGCTCTTAGGCTTCATGGAAATATTTTGCCAACGCCTTCCTTCCTGCAGCCTATTACAATGTTTATTTTCAACAAATACCTTAATTCAGGCAGTCTTTCTGTTGGCATAAATAGTGTTTATATGTACAGTATGTATTCATATATACAGTAAAAAGTTGTGTAAGTTAATACAACCTAGGCAAAATAATACTGTATTCAGTGTAGATAATGTCTAATCATTACCTGTAACAAGCACATTATTTGCATACAGGATACCCTTACCCAGGGTGAATTTAAAATGTTTTGAGGACCGTGCAAGTTTTCACATACATTGTCATATACTGATTAAGGCCAATGATCTCTCCAGAGAGCATTTCCACTCATAAAGAATAAATATATTGTATACTATATTACAAAAATATGTAATTTATCATATTTTTCATAACACCTTTTCAGAAGTTCTAAATATTTGCTATGGACAAATGAGAAAAATAAAAAAAAACTGTGTGACGAATCTGTATAGTATCACCATTTTCAGAGCAGTACACAATACCCAAGAGGCAATTGCTGTGCCCATGACGCTCAATCTCTCCATGAGCATACCTCTTTCGAAATCTTCTAGTCGTTCAGTTAATGTTAGTGTAATTGCATTTTAGGAGCTCTCAGTTCTGTTGGTGATAGGAACTGGAAATTGTGTATGAAATTTTTGTGATTTTATTTTAAACCCCCATATCTGGAAAAGTCAGTTTGGAAATTGGCTTCCTTGTGTCATACAAGGAAAATGAAAAGCTGTAGACATACTCCTGTGACAATCTGACCCTTGGGACCCATTCAACATGTGATATGCCATGCGCTCCACACTGCGCTGGGTGCTTGCAGGCTCTCTTCAGACCCCCAAGAGCCTGTTGTACCAAACTCCAAGGCGATGGTGGCTGACTGACCAACCGCGTAAGCAGTGGTGTTCCACATCTTGAGGAATCGCAGTCACGGTCTGTTCATGACGTGGCCCAGGCATGAGTCAGTGACGTCTTGATTATAGGACTCCCACCTGTTTCTTCATTGAATACCTTTACTGTGCTGCTTCTGTGGATCTCCTGGGGTTGATTCCTTTTAGATTTGTCATCTCTTTTGGTACCAAGAAGAAGTTACGGTTGACAATTTATTCAACTTGTAATGTCTGATTATAAGAAATTAGTGATTTTTGTAGAAAACAAATAGGATCAGGCAACATGTGCATGCACCTATATGTGCGTGTAAATATTTGAGAGAGTGTTCAGTAAAGTGGATTATTTACCAGATACAATGTGCGAAGACTTGTTTGTCAGCGTTGACTGCTTCTGCATCCACACTTTTGATGCCACCTCACATTTTTATGGATGCCCATGAAGTGAAAACAATCTTTTTGTCACTACCCGTTCCTGTACTGCCTTAGAAGATTATAATTATCTTCACATCACAAGTTTCAGCCTTGGAAAGCTTCCTTCACTTAGTCAAAGTGATGAAAGTCTGATGAATCCAGCTGTCAGGAAAGCGATGACAGTATTCTGGAACCAGAAGAGTGATATCTGCCCAGTCCAATGTGGAAATTTGAACAAATAAGTGCAACATAGTCTGCATTTGTGCAAACTCAACTGTAACCACTAATGTGTACAGTGCGTCACGGGACAGTCGTCACAGGTGTCATTCTGTAGGATGACAGTGTGAAGTCTGTCTTACTATGAGGGCTACAGTGCAGTGCATTGAAGATCTAGGTTGGAATTCTTAACACTGCCACCTTTCAGTCCAGTTCTTGCACTGTTCAGCCACAAAACTCTCAGAGATAGGAACTTTAGTGATAAATACCCATAAGCTCGTGAAACAATGGCAGGAGTGTTGCGATGTACGATATTGGGGAAAATAAGTCTTCCCCACTATTGAAGGCTGAACCATTTTATTTTCCCAACTTATTTTTTAGGCTTAAATTCTGGTAATATCTGATTATGTATCTACCTTGAAGTCTAAGTTTAGGTCCTCGTTTTGTTAATATACATGCATAGATGAATAGGAAAGCAGTGCTTGCTCCTCAGTTGCTAAAAGACAGGTTTACTTTGGTACAAATGTGCCAATCAGAGCGTTATATAATAAGCAGACAGCTATCAGTTGATATTTTAGTGTCTAAGGTATGCTTATACTGAAGATGGGTGATTTTTATTTAGTGTAGAAACATAATTATCATAATTACCATTATCAGGCTATGCTGATCATTCTGACTTAAAGCATAATTTGTACATTTAAGACAGTTTCAAATTTGCAACAAAGGAAGATGAATGTGTAACTTAATCAGTAACTTTTACACAAGCACCAGTTTGTGTGCTCAGTTCAGTGTCCTCTGTGTAAGAATTTGTAATAGACTGGTGAACATCTAACAGCAGCAAAGAGCTGAAACATTCTCAAAAACAATTTGAATGTCAGTTTTTCCAGTTCTTGATAACATAATTTATCGTGCTTTTATTTCTGGTAGATTGCAGAGTTCATGTAGGGCATAAAATGCAGAAAGCTCAAAGGAATTTTGAAAACTGTTTTTTTTGTATTGCACAGGTTTGAAGACCGTTAGGTGTGGTTACACTGGCAAAAACGTTTTTAGAACAAGGCCAGGATATATTCCCTAATGGGTTTCTAAATGCATTCTTATCGTGAACAACATACTGCAGTACCAGTATATACAATTTCCAGGGTGCATTGCATGCCAGTAAGCAATATTATATTTCTGCCTTCTCATAACTCATTTAAGATCTTCTCCAGGCAGAAATATGACCTGCTGCTGTCACACAAGTATATATGACAGTTTTGGAACAGAATGTAACAGAATCCTTGCAGAACGATGCCAGAATTCAAGTTTAAATACTCAGGGGATTATACCCTACTTTGGAGGTTTATATCAGACGTGGATACTAGTATAAAGTGTCCATTTCTCTTGAATTGCTAAATTTAAATACCTGTGTTCAGATTAGGGGGGATTAGTGGTATGACTGTACTTTGAATTCCTTTAATGGTCTTGGTTTCAAAACAATGTTTACTGCAGTAGTCAGTTTGCATTTCTAGTAATGTAGAAAAGACACTCAAGTAAATAGATTCACTAATCTTTCAGATGCTCAGTTGTAACATTACTTCATATATCATTTTGCTAAAATTGTCATTTCAAACTGATCAGTTCCACAAAGGAGGGTTGTATGGTGCTTCCTCAATGTATTTTCTGCTTAACCAAGGGTTAAGGTATGAAGGTGCTATGCACTTTAAAAAGAACTCTATCTTGATTCCCTTATAAGAGAAAAAGATCAGTAATGTAGGTAGTTATAGAGTCAGACATGCTCTTCTTGAGTATTTTAAAGCTGTAGCCCTTAGCAGTTATTACATGTGGGTTAGGCATACTTCACTCTTCTATTCCATTACATCCAATGTTTTTCATGTAATCGTTAATCATTATTTACCTCCATTAGGGAGGAGCATGTAAGGACCAAAGGGAATATTTGAAGAGGTGAAGTTGCCTATCTCTGTCCAAAATAACTAGAATTCAAAAGTCTTAAAAGAACTGTCTGATCTGTGATTCTGTCGTCACATTGTGCAGCAAATTACATTTTCTTACACTTCTGCTTGTAAGATATCTGTGTATCACTGCAGGAAGGGCTACAGTTGTCTTAAAATAAGTTGCTGTTGTGCTTTCTGCCACTTTAGTTTCTCTCAAATGGAAACATCTGTATAAAGCTGAAGATAAGTAACATTATTTAGCCTTTTCAGAAACCCCAGTCTTTTCTCGCTGAGTGTTGTAAGGCTGTTGTTTTTTTTGCTCACCTTTTCTTGGTGGTGTGTGATGATCTTTTTATCAAGATCCAGAAAAAATGTAAGTGACTTAAAAGACCTCTTAAATGTCATGCTGTTGTTTTCAGTCATACTCTAGATTTGGGTTTCTCATTGAAGGTGAAATGCACAAAGAAAGCTGCATTAGGGGTTTAATGCTCTTAACCTCTCTTTTTATCCTGTGAAAGCATACTGTCTTTTTTAAATGCATTTTTTGAGAACTCATTGTTTTACACAATGCAAAAGGGTAAGATTTTTACCTTTTTCAAGTAGGGCTGTAAGGTTTTCAGGGGATGTAATACTAACTTTATTCCCTCCTGTTCTTAGTTGAGGGAAAATGTCACGCACTGTAAAATTTATTGTGGAAGGTGTTGGGCAACCATTATCAGTTTGTTCTTTATCATGTAGTTAAAGTGCAAGAAATTGCATCTCATTTACATTTAATGTTTAGGTTTTTATTTTTGTTTCTTGATCATTGTTTTGGACTACAGTAGACTTCAATGTACATTTAAAGTTTTGGATCAGTTCTTCTTAGACTTGTATGTATCAAGAAAAACATTTTATAAAGGTTGTGTCTATAAGTAAATGTTATTTGTGTATTATTTGTATTGAAATTGAGGTTTTAAAATACGTTTAATCACAAGATGTGGAGCCCGATAACCCCATTTTTAAAGTGCACATCATTTTGTTTTCCAGTTTATATTTTTAATTCCTTTTGTTTGTGTGGTTTTGGGTTTTTTTTGAAGGGTACATTCTGATCAGCCTGTTTCAGTTGCATTGATTGTGCATTTCATTTGTTTCCTTCTCTGTCTTTATGTATATAGTACAGAAACAACACCTTTCCGATTTCCAAAAGATAAGGATAACTAAAGCCTTAGCTTGGTCATACTGTTTCCTTTATACAGTAAGAACACTTCTGTCCATTAACCATTGATTTCATAAACACTATTTTTATTTACTCCTGTTTTTGAATAAGCAAGTCACATTATATTACCCATGAAATAAGATATAAATTTAGTTTATAGGAAAACATCTTAAAATCTTAAAGTTCCAAGTTTAAAGCATGGCTGATAAAACAGAGTTGAAACAAATTCTGGATTTAAGATATTTTACGAACACTTACATTAAGGGTTTTCTTAATCTTTAAGAGTATCTTAGAAATAGAAAGGACATTTTTAACTTTTTTTATAAGTCTTCGTGAGCTTTACGTTTTCTATTTGGTAAGGTTTTGATAAGATTTTGAGATTGTGCATACTGTAATAATGGGTTATTTTTATCAGTTCAAATTCTTAGTGTAATTTGATTAGTTCAGTCTGTTTCCTAGAAGATGACCAAAGGAAAAGTCCTTTTAAGTCTTCATTCAACCGTATGAATTTCAGAAGGAAGTAATACAAATTAAATCGGTTATTTTATCTTTTTGTCACATTTTTCCGTATAGTCAACATCAGCATTGTTTCTCCTCAAATAAGGTGTTTCATTATGTTAAAGAGATGCATCCGGTACACTCTCAGGTCAGTGGCAAGAAGGTATGTTTGTTCATGCATTCCTTTAAATTCAGCACTAGTAACCGTTTTAGTGTGTCTACATTGTCTTCCATTTAAACTGTAATGTTGTGGTTTTATGTGCTGTATATAAGCCATGAGGTGTCATTATTTTACATATGTGTTTTATTTTCAGTTGTTTACTTAAAGCTATAAATCTTTGGGTAACTGTAAAGCTCAGTTACTTTTCTAGATGGGTTATTTCTGCTTCGTCATTTTCTAAAGTCCCTATCTTAATGAGGAAAAGAAAATCGGTTATGGTATTCATAATTCCAAAAACAGAGTACCTTCCAAAACACATTTTGTGTTATTTGGGGGAAATAATCTCAATTCTATGAATTTAAACAAGGTCATTCATAAATTTTAAAAGGTCTCACAGTAATGTTGCATTACATTAATGTTACATTACAGCGCAAGGTTATTATAAGCTGGTGCTTATCTATAACAGGTTCATATTGAATCTTTCTGTAGCTGGTTTTAAAGCAACTTAGCACATTTAAGTTATGAAGAATTGGTATTATTGTACTATTTATGTATGTGGGAAACATTCGTTGCAAAATGATGAATGATACAGGACTATGGGCCTGAAATATCTGAGAAACAGAAATGGGTATTTTGTTTGCTTCTGGATTTCTAGAAATTGCTTGCAATAGTTGAAGTGTTAAATGATTTTCCTGAAGTCCAATTATATTTGAGGTTCATTTTCTCTCTTTTGGTATAGAAAATACTCAGGATTGTCAACAGCAGGCATGAATACGTCTTCAGAAGTGTCTTAGACATTTAGCTTGCCTTGTGAATATAACAGCAAGATGGCTTGGGCTCAAATATTAAAAAGTGTGCATGTTCTTAGACTATCAAGGGATTATAGACATTCTCATAGAGCTGTGTGATATCTAGGACCTTCTTAATGGTGGACATAGGTTCTAAAACATTTTTAAATATGTTTTGGCTAAAATATGGTATAAGGTCTTGATCTGTATTTTGGTTTGTGTTTCTGAAAATATCCTTTTCTTTCATGAAAACAGTTGTTTTTTAGGCATATATATATAAGACATGCAGCTCTTGCCCTACTCTAAAATCTGCCCGTTCTTTTTTTTTCCTCTTTTTAGGCAAAAGATCAGGCAGTTCACCGTAATTTGATAATTGATCTGGTTGTTTTGTAACTTCTACAGGTGGTGGAGTGCAGTACGGAAGAGGTCCTGTAATCCCGTTTCAGAACTTGATTAATCGGTTATGCGTTTCTTTTTTGAGTTTCAGTGGAGGAAGAGCATGCTGTTAACGTGTTTTCTTTCTGAGAAAATAACTTCCGCTGCTATGAAGGGGACATTTAACGTCAACCTCCCAACTCCGTTGTGGATACTGAGTAAATTCACCTCATTCTTTTACAGGTCATAGTGTCCCTAGGGAAGTGGACTTAGTCATGTTGTCTGATATCTCTTTGCAGGTCTTTCCTCCTACCAGGAGAAAGAAGAATTAAACTGCAAAGCTTTTCTTGACAGGTGGATTATGTACAGATCTTCATGTTCCCGATGTGGTCCTTCTTAACCAGAGCTAATTGTGTTGGGAGGGGGGGTTCACACCTGGGGTGTCAGAACTGCCACAGATTTGTGCTGTCCGTAAATAAACTAAACCATTGTGTGTTAAATAGGTGCCTGGATTTCCGTTGTTTGTTAGACCAAATCATGGAGGTTTGCATTAACAGACTGCACCGGTGTAGAAAAGCCCTGACCCATTCTCAGTCTCAGCTGTTCAGTCTCCTTAACATTCTTCCAGTGCATTCAAAGTGGATTGATGCGCTGAATCTGGAACTCTAAAGAAAAAAAAAACTTGAATGGAAAAAGACTCTGCACTTGTCTTCAGTTGGATGATATGAGTTAACAGGTCCTATGACAATTGAACAGAGCATTCAAAGATCTCAACAAAGACTGAATCATTTAGAATTATAATTGCACTGTTTATCTATTTTTGTACAAAA